TTAAAACCCCCTTCCGTCTCTTTCTTTAAAACCCCCTTCCGTCTCTTTCTTTAAAACCCCCCTTCCGTCTCTTTCTTTAAAACCCCTTCCGTCTCTTTTCTTTAAAACCCCCTCCGTCTCTTTCTTTAAAACCCCTTCCGTCTCTTTCTTTAAAACCCCTTCCGTCTCTTTCTTTTTAAACCCCCTTCCGTCTCTTTCTTTAAAACCCCCCCTTCCGTCTTTCTTTTAAACTTCCGTTTTTCTTTAAAACCCCTTCCGTTTCTTTTTAAAAACTTTCCGTCTTTTTTTAAACCCTTCCGTCTCTTTCTTTTAAACCCCCTTCCGTCTCTTTCTTTTAAAACCCCTTCCGTCTCTTTCTTTAAAACCCCCTTCCGTCTTTCTTTTTTCCGTTTTTTAAAACCCCCTTCCGTCTCTTTCTTTTAAAACCCCTTCCGTCTCTTTCTTTAAAACCCCTTCCGTCTCTTTCTTTAAAACCCCCTTCCGTCTCTTTCTTTAAAACCCCTTCCGTCTCTTTCTTTTAAAACCCCTTCCGTCTCTTTTTCTTTTAAACCCCCTTCCGTCTCTTTTCTTTAAAAACCCCTTCCGTCTCTTTCTTTTAAAACCCCTTCCGTCTCTTTCTTTAAAACCCCCTTCCGTCTCTTTCTTTTAAAACCCCTTCCGTCTCTTTCTTTTTAAACCCCCTTCCGTCTCTTTCTTTAAAACCCCTTCCGTCTCTTTCTTTTAAAACCCCCTTCCGTCTCTTTCTTTTAAAACCCCTTCCGTCTCTTTCTTTAAAACCCCCTTCCGTCTCTTTTTTTAAAACCCCTTCCGTCTCTTTCTTTTTAAAACCCCTTCCGTCTCTTTCTTTAAAAACCCCTTCCGTCTCTTTCTTTTAAACCCCTTCCGTCTCTTTCTTTCCCTTCCGTCTCTTTCTTTAAAACCCCTTCCGTCTCTTTTCTTTAAAACCCCTTCCGTCTCTTTCTTTAAAAACCCCTTCCGTCTCTTTCTTTAAAACCCCCTTCCGTCTCTTTCTTTAAAACCCCCTTCCGTCTCTTTCTTTAAAACCCCCTTCCGTCTCTTTCTCTGTCTGTCTTTCTTTATCTAAAACCTCTATCTTCTTTCTTTGGTATTTTTCTTCTGTCTATCCTTGCAAGGAAACCGGTATGGTCTATTGTTTATCTGAGGTAATGGCATGAGAGTGTTATCACCTTCACTTGCCTTTCTTTCTTTAAAATCTCTTCCTTCTCTTTCTTTATCTAACTAAAACCTTTATCTTCCCTTTCTTTCATATTATGTATGCTTTCTTTTTCTTACTAAAACCAAAAAGCATCTCTAAATTCTCAATCACAAACATAAAAATACATATATAAATTCACAAGAAATTTATCCCTTGTTTCCTGTTTAGAATTGGGTTTTTGGTTCCTTCTAAAATCCTTTTCATTCTCTTTCACCTCCAGTAGCCCCCTGCATCTTAGTGGAAATATTGCCTTGCTTAGGATGAATTGATAAAAAAAATCCTCTCTCCTCCAAACCTGTAAAAAAAACTTTTATTTAACTCTATGGCCACAACTTCAACATGGTAACCATTTGTCTGTGATTTCTTTAACAAGTACAATTTTTACCGGGTTGAGTTGGTAGCCCCATGCCCAGCCAGTGTTTAATTCAGTTATCTTCCTCTGATGCTGGTTGCTAGCAAAGCTGAAGAGCCCAGTCTACTATTATTTAACCCATAGCTGAATGAAGATGAATTCATACCTCTCACAAGGCTGACCCGTAAGATTTGAATGTAACCAGCTGTATTGGAATTTGAACTCTGATCACTGATTTCTTGTTCTGAGCCACTAATCATTGCGCCACCTGCACATTATTCAATTACATAAAAAAAGAAATGTTAGAAATTCCATAATAGATTTTATGGAGTCATGAGGGCTTGTTTTCAGAGTTGCCAGTCTGAATGCATCCAGCATGGACCAAGTAGCCTGCAGCCCTTCCCTTTAACACATTGCCCCTCAAGTGTGTGCTTTTTCTTGCTTCTTAAATATGCAGGTATGTCTTTGTGTGATATTGCACATGTAAAATTTCCCAGGCTCAGTTGCAATGTGCATTGTTGTCTTGATTATTTTTAGTCTCTTCAGCAGTATTTTGCCCTCCCACCTATAATTTGTCTTTCTCATAAGAACCAGATCACAGGAAACTTTTTAGGATATTTTCCCACAATTTCCTTTTAAGGTTTTGTGCAATTTCTATGTGGATGTTGCAAACTGTTAGCAGGAATTTACATTAGAGAAAAAATAACTTTTATTTGCAATGTTTTGGTTAATATCAGTTGTAGAAATAGAATTATTTTTCTCTCTTTGCTTGTATATTTTTTTCTCTCTTTGCTTCTGTTTCTATTTTTCTCTTCTCTCTTTGCTTCTTTTCTCTCTCTCTCTCTCTGTTTCTGTTTTTATTTTTTTCTCTTTTGCTTCTGTTTCTCTCTCTCTCTTTGCTTCTGTTTCTCTCTCTCTCTTTGCTTCTGTTTCTATTTTTTCTCTCTCTCTCTCTCTCTTTGCTTCTGTTTCTATTTTTCTCTCTCTCTTCTCTTTTTGCTTCTCTTTCTTTTTCTCTCTTTCTCTCTCTCTCTCTTTCTGTTTTTTTTCTCTCTCTCTCTTTGCTTCTTCTCTCTCTCTCTCTTGCTTCTGTTTCTATTTTTCTCTCTCTCTCTTTTTGCTTCTGTTTCTTCTGTTTCTTTTTTCTCTCTCTCTCTCTCTCTTTGCTTCTGTTTCTATTTTTTCTCTCTCTCTTTGCTTCTGTTTCTATTTTTTCTCTCTCTCTCTCTCTCTTTGCTTCTGTTTCTATTTTTTCTCTCTCTCTCTCTTGCTTCTGTTTCTATTTTTCTCTCTCTCTCTCTTTTGCTTCTGTTTCTATTTTTCTCTCTCTCTCTCTCTCTTTTTCTGTTTTTTTCTATTTTTTTCTTCTCTCTCTCTCTTTCTTCTGTTTCTGTTTTTTTCTCTCTCTCTCTCTCTCTTCTGTTTCTATTTTTTCTCTCTCTCTCTCTTCTCTCTTTTCTTCTCTTTCTCTTTTCTCTCTCTCTCTCTCTCTCTTTGCTTCTGTTTCTATTTTTTCTCTCTCTCTCTCTCTTTGCTTCTGTTTCTATTTTTTCTCTCTCTCTCTCTCTTTGCTTCTGTTTCTATTTTTTCTCTCTCTCTCTCTCTTCTGTTTCTATTTTTTCTCTCTCTCTTGCTTCTGTTTCTATTTTCTCTCTCTCTCTTCTGTTTCTTTTTCTCTCTCTCTCTCTCTCTTTTTCTTCTGTTTCTATTTTTCTCTCTCTCTCTCTCTCTTTTCTTCTGTTTCTTTTTTCTCTCTCTCTCTCTTTGTTCTGTTTCTATTTTTTCTCTCTCTCTCTCTCTCTTTTTTTCTATTTCTCTCTCTCTCTCTCTTTGCTTCTGTTTCTATTTTTTCTCTCTCTCTCTCTCTTTTCTTCTGTTTCTATTTTTTCTCTCTCTCTCTCTCCTTTTCTATTTATTTTTCTCTCTCTCTCTCTCTTTTACTTCTGTTTCTATTTTTCTCTCTCTCTCTCTCTCTTCTGTTTCTATTTTTCTCTCTCTCTCTCTCTTTTGCTTCTGTTTTTTATTTTCTCTCTCTCTCTTTCTTCTTTTCTTCTTTTTCTCTCTTTTCTGTTTCTATTTTCTCTCTCTCTCTCTTTGCTTCTTTTCTCTCTCTCTCTCTTTGCTTCTGTTTCTATTTTTCTCTCTCTCTTTTTTCTATTTTTCTCTCTCTCTTTTGCTTCTGTTTCTATTTTCTCTCTCTCTCTTTTTCTTCTGTTTCTATTTTCTCTCTCTCTCTTTTTTCTATTTCTCTCTCTCTCTCTCTCTCTTCTTTGCTTCTGTTTTTTTTTTCTCTCTCTCTCTTTCTCTCTCTTTGCTTCTGTTTTCTCTCTCTCTCTCTCTCTCTTTGCTTCTGTTTCTATTTTTCTCTCTCTCTCTCTCTTTGCTTCTGTTTCTATTTTTCTCTCTCTCTCTCTCTTTGCTTCTGTTTCTATTTTTTCTCTCTCTCTCTCTCTTTGCTTCTGTTTCTATTTTTTCTCTCTCTCTCTCTTTGCTTCTGTTTCTATTTTTCTCTCTCTCTCTCTTTCTTCTGTTTCTATTTTTCTCTCTCTCTCTCTTTTTCTTCTGCTCTCTCTCTCTCTCTTTGCTTCTGTTTCTATTTTTCTCTCTCTCTCTCTTTTTTCTGTTTCTATTTTCTCTCTCTCTCTCTCTTTGCTTCTGTTTCTATTTTTCTCTCTCTCTCTCTCTTTGTTCTGTTTCTATTTTTCTCTCTCTCTCTCTTTTTGCTTCTGTTTCTATTTTTCTCTCTCTCTCTCTTTGCTTCTGTTTCTATTTTCTCTCTCTCTCTCTTTGCTTCTGTTTCTATTTTCTCTCTCTCTCTCTTTGCTTCTGTTTCTATTTTCTCTCTCTCTCTCTTTGCTTCTGTTTCTATTTTCTCTCTCTCTCTCTCTTTTACTTCTGTTTCTATTTTTCTCTCTCTCTCTCTCTTTGCTTCTGTTTCTTTTTTCTCTCTCTCTCTTTTGCTTCTGTTTCTATTTTTTCTCTCTCTCTCTCTCTTTGCTTCTGTTTCTATTTTTCTCTCTCTCTCTCTCTTTGCTTCTGTTTCTATTTTTTCTCTCTCTCTCTCTTTGCTTCTGTTTCTATTTTTTCTCTCTCTCTCTTTGCTTCTGTTTCTATTTTTTCTCTCTCTCTCTCTTTTGCTTCTGTTTCTTTTTTCTCTCTCTCTCTTTGCTTCTGTTTCTATTTTTTTTCTCTCTCTCTCTTTTTGCTTCTGTTTCTATTTTTCTCTCTCTCTCTCTTTGCTTCTGTTTCTATTTTATTTCTCTCTCTCTCTCTTTCTTCTTTTTTTTTCTCTCTCTCTCTTTTTTCTGTTTCTATTTTTTCTCTCTCTCTCTTTGCTTCTGTTTCTATTTTCTCTCTCTCTCTCTCTTTTCCTTCTGTTTCTATTTTTCTCTCTCTCTCTCTTTTGATTTTTCTCTCTCTCTCTTTGCTTCTGTTTCTATTACAGATGAAATTTTTACACACACACACACACAATAATATCAAATTCATAAGTGTAAAGGATATTATCATAGTATTACATTTATAACTGTTTTTGATGTGTTAAGTTTTCCTTGATTTCTGTATCATATATATATATATATATATATATATATATATATATATAGTTACTATAAGTAAAAGAATTTTCACTTAGCCGATTGATGTTATCTTCAGCATTCTGACTCCAGAGTTTCGTAAATCCTCCAGGAATCACTCAGTCTACTTGTCAGGGGATATCAGCAATTGACTGTTCATATTTTTCTTTTTCATATTTTATATACTATTTTCATTGGTGCAATTTTTTTTTTTTTGTCCCTCCATACAGAATGCATGCATACATATAGAATATCATAGCTATTTGTCCATTTCATCATTTTTACTTTTTCTCTTTCTCCTTTTCTTTCAATTGTAGCCTTTTTGACTTCTGGTTTTCTGGACATACACTGCCCTTGATAATTCTTGAGCATTCTAGTGTTTCCTTGAGTTATGAAAATTATATGTCATTTTTTTTTTTTTTTTTATTTTTTTTACATAAATAATTTTATTTTTTTATGCTTAGCTGCTTGGCATTGAATGCCGCCTTTTAAATTGATGCTCCATGTTAGGAAGTTTATCATTAATAACTTTTATTGTTGCGTGTGTGGCAATTGCAACTACTTTCAGGATTAAAAAAAAACAAAAAAACTACAGTAACTCTTAAAGCTTAAGTCTAATATAAGTTCAGGAAAGAGTTTTTGCTTTCATTCTCATTCCTTCCTGACATCTTTAATAAATTTATGTCTTTAAATGACATTTTTATTTACATTTTAATTTTTTCTTTTTTATTTTTAAATCTTGTTCAATAGCCATAGAGAACGCTTTTACATGTACCTATTCTATTTTTCTGTCTTGGAAGAAATCTCATTCTGTAGCAGACACAGGAATATGTTTACTTCACAAAACAATATTCAGTTGAAAAGAGAGGTTATGCCAATTCTGTGTATCATGCAATGGTTGGTCGAAGTGGTGCATTTGGTTAATGCATTGTCTAGCATTAGGTTTGTTTTAGCAAGCACAAAAAGTAAAACCATGTCTTTCCAATTCAATTAACTCAAAGTGATTGACATTTCTTAAGGGAATCAATAGGAAGTACATTTCCTATACAATTGCGTAAGTCATACATTTGAGTGGAAAATGAAAAAAAGCATCAGCAGTTATCTGCCCTTGTGTGAACTAAAAAGGAAAACTTTCATTTTATTTTTTTTATTTATTTATTTTTTTTTTTTTTTCAAACATTAATCTTTAAGTACATTCTTGGAAAGATAAATGTGTTTTCGCAAAGTTTTTGTGAACTGTTTTTCACTTGCTACAATCTGAATCTAATTTTTTAAAAATAAACTTTCTTTTCAAATTTTTTTATCCCCCCCCTCTATATGTTATTTTATTCCCCCCTCTATATGTTATTTTTATTTCCCCCCTATATGTTATTTTTATTCCCCCCATATGTTATTTTTTAATCCCCCTCTATGTTATTTTTATTCCCCCCTTATTTTATTCCCCCTCTGTTATTTTTATTACCCCCCTCTATATGTTATTTTTATTACCCCCCTCTATATGTTATTTTTATTCCCCCCCCTCTGTTATTTTTATTCCCCCTCTGTTATTTTATTCCCCCCCTCTGTTATTTTTATTCCCCCCCTCTGTTATTTTTATTCCCCCCCCCTCTATTTTATTTTTATTCCCCCCCCTCTGTTATTTTTATTCCCCCCCCTCTCTTATTTTTTATTCCCCCCCCTGTATATGTTATTTTTATTCCCCCCCCCCATATGTTATTTTTTATGTTATTTTTTAATCCCCCCCCTGTATATGTTATTTTTATTCCCCCCCCCCTCTGTTATTTTATTACCCCCCCTCTATGTTATTTTTATTACCCCCCCTCTATGTTATTTTTATTCCCCCCCTCTATTATTTTTTTTCCCCCCCCCCTCTGTTTTTTATTCCCCCCCCTGTTATTTTTATTCCCCCCCCCCCTCTGTTATTTTATTCCCCCCCTGTTATTTTTATTCCCCCCCCTTGTTATTTTATTCCCCCCCCCCTTATTTTTTTTTCCCCCCCTTCTATATGTTATTTTTTATCCCCCCCTTATATGAAATTGTGAAATGAAAGGTCTCTCTTCTAGATAATTTTCCATTAATGCAGGTGTCCCCAGGGCTCTATCCTTGAACCTAGATTGTTCTTAATTTTCATTGACAGGCTTCCTGATGTCATCACTTCTAAACTCTGATTTACTCCTGTCTTATCTGATATGTTTGATTATGTCAAATTGGCAGTTGATCTCAATAACCTACAATTTGTTGTTAACTGGGGCAAGGAATGGCTTGTTAATTTTAATGGCTCCGAAACAAAACTGCTCTTTTAATCATCTGAGAGAACGCTTTTTGCCTTCCATCAACATGGCTAATGCTAACCTCCATGTGCGTGACTCATTTCACCTTTTTGAACTAACATTTTTCACTTACATGATTGAATTAATTACTAGTTGGTTCACTGTGTTGCACTTGACAGTTACACGTCTACTTTTCATCTATGCTTTGAATACTGCTGCTCAGTTTAAATATTTTTTTTTTTTCTAACCTTTTCTTGACAGACTTGTTAACCAATACCAGCCTGTATTCTTTTAATTTCGAGGCAGAATCAAGTTGAGGGGATTTTGAAAGGAGAGCAATTCATTATAACTACCCATTTATCAAATTTTGTTACACCCCCGCCCAACAAAATGGAACAAGACCAACATTGTCCCCCCTCCACACACACACACACTTTGTAGACTTCCACTTGTCAATGGAAGTTACGGCAGGCTTGCACTGCTAAGTCACAGATAAAGTGCTTTGCCTGGAAGCACCCAACCCATGCACCCCCTTTGCAACTAAGGATAAATTCAGGAAATGCAGAAGTGTCACAAAGATGTTTTGTTTTTAATACTCTCTCTCTCTAGTGTGTGTGTGTGTGTGTGTATATATATATATATATATATATATAATATATATATATAGTGTGTGTGTGTATATATACAGTGCCCTGATTAGAAAGATTTTTTTTTTTTTTTGTATCCAATGGAGATAAGTCTTTATTTGCTGAAAAGAAAAAAATAATTAAGAAAAAACAAAATAAATTGCTTAATGTTCAACAGTATAGAATGTCAACATTTGTATTTTCCTTTTAATCATTTCACCCCAATAAAGGCAATAAAGCCACTAAGGCACAAGGAGTTACTGCATGTGAGAGAACAATAAAAGAGAAAACAGGAAGTTGACGTTGCATTTATATTTTTGGCTGGAAAGTAAGAAATCAGAAGAGTCCCACAAGTGAGAAGTGCAAGAAAAGAAACTATTTTGATACGGCTGGATATTTGAAGTATTTAGTATTAATTTCCTTTCCTGAATTTTTATGATGGATTACTCCGTCACTGCTTTTTTTATTCCAGTCCTAGATCGTAGTTTCTATTTTAGAAAGGTTTCGCTCGAGGGCTGTATTTTTTTTATTTTTTTATTTTTTTTAATTATTTTAAGTCATTCCAACCCAAGCAAGGCAATAAAACTGCAAGGAATGTGTTAGAGAATATGAGGAAAAAAAAAACACCATTAAAGAGAGAGGACAATAAAAACACCATTAAAGAGAGAGGACAATAAAAGAACAAAAATTAAGATTGGCTGGATTTTTCTATTGCTTTTCTTTATTAAAATATTGTGTATAATGAATCGGTTCATTCTTTTTTGATAATGCTGTATTCATTTGAGTAGTTTCATCTTTAACTGATGCAGTTTTTGTTATTTAGTAAAGGCTATAAGAACTAATGAAGGGTTGTCTTAAAGACTCGGAGGATTCATTTGCTTGAAGCCCTTTTAAATCAGATCTGAAAAAACGTTTGCTATATAGCTAATAGTTTGTATATTTCTGGACGAGTTGGATGTATTTCATCCCCATGAGTGTTGATTTGTCGAGGCTATGTAAGAACATGGCTCTAGGTCTTAAGTTAATATTGGGTTTCTTAACAATATGTGGTGTTGGACAAAGCTACATCGAACACAGCCTAGCCTATATCCCATGTAAGATTTTCTATACTAAATCTGTTAGAACTGATTCATACACCGGGGTATTTCAAGTATTCAGTACTTGATTCCCTTTCCTAAATTTTTTATGATGATTACATGCCATCACTGCTTTTATTCCAATTCCAGATCATAGTTTCTATTTTGAAAAGCTTCATCTCAAGTCCTGTGTTTTTAAAACTCATTTCACCCCAAGCAAGGCAATAAAGCCACTAAGACACAAGTTTTGTGTTAGAGAATATGAGAAAAAAATACTATTAAGAAGAGAAGTCAATAAAAGAAGTATTAAGAAGACAGAAGATAATGATTGACATTTATTTACATGTTGGACAAAACTACATCGAACACAGGATAGATAGATTTTTTTTTAATCATTTCACCCCTAAGCAAGGCAATAAAGCCACTAGGATGCAAGAGGGTACTGGATGTTAGAGAATATGAGAAAGACTACTATTAAGAAGAGAGGATAATAAAAGAACAAGAATTAAGAAGAGAAAAGTTAACGACTGACATTGCATTTAAATTTTTGAAGATCAAACTTGACTGGAAAGCAAAAAGACCGAAGAGTTCCACAAGCAAAAATGTGAGAGAAGAAACTTTTAGTATGTAACTTACGGTTACATTTAGCCATTTCAGCAGTAAAATGATGAGACCTATCTGCCAATCTAGTACTGCACTTAAATTCATAAAGTCTAGGTATGATAGAAGAAAGTAATTATTTTGAAAAATACAAAAATGTGGCACAAGGCCAAAAGGCGGGATAAGGGAAGGCTGATCATCAATCAGTCTTATCATAAATGTAGCTAGCCACAATTACCGACTCAAACATACCACAGTATTCCTTACACCAAAACAACAGATTCT